ACAAAATGACAGGCGGGGGGGAGGGGGAGGGGGAGGGTCTTCATAAAGTTTTATCTACTTGCCTGGTATAGAACTTATACCTTCTGGCCTCTTAAATCCTTGAATCCTTTTAAGAGCTTTTTCTGAAGCAAGTGTGATAGTCATCACTTCCCCTCCTCCGCTATAAGGCCAACCAAGCTATGTTCCAATTCAGACTTAGCAGTTTCTCAGTTTAGTTTCCTTAAAGCTCAGCAGAATACCATTTAGGGCAATTTCTTGCTTTTCTAAAGCCTGTTCTACTGAGGATTCAGGTTTAAGACATTTCCCTCGATTTGCCACTTGTAAAGAAGCATTTCATTTATCTTTTTGCTACAGCATTATCTTCTATTAGTACTCTCACAACAGGATCACCTATTGACCTTAAAGCAGGTGGAAGCTTCTTACCTCCAGGATATAAAGTTTTGAAATTATGCTCTAAGTTTTTCCTCAAAGCTTTTAGCTTGCCTAAGTTTCACACTTAGCTTGCCTGAGCTTAAGTTCTTCCATTTTCTTTGGAAATGGCTTCCACTTTTCTAAAGGCTGTCTTAGTCCAATAACTTACACAACACTGCTGTTTAAATCACCAGCAACAAAATCCAGCATGCTTAGTCTCTTCTTTAGTTGTATACACTTGCTGAGACTCTAATGTGGCATTAAAATGGATACAAACTCCACTAAGTATTTACTTTTGAGCTACAGTAGATATGTTTACAACACTCATGAATGTGTTATTCCACCTTTATTTAAGATCACTTGCTGCAATTGGTGCGCAATGCAAGAAAAAGTAGAGAGGACAGGGTGTAAGGAAGTCAGAGGTAGTAAGGAAAGAAGGAGGAAAAAAGTGCATTTGCTCCAACATTTGTTGTTAATTTCACTGGGTATCGTTCTAGGACTTCTGCTAATTCAACATACGTTAAGAAGTCCCAACAAAAGTTGTATTCCAGTCATTGTTTTCATAGGCTATAGCCTGTTAATGAAGAAATGCTACTATATTATAGTAAGTACAATAAGAGCCATGCATGGTTTTGTATACTATCATGTTCTCACAGTTATTTATTTCAGCTTCATAATGTCTGCACAGGGGAATAAAGTACAAGTGCTCAAATATAGCTCTAACGGTAGAAATTAAACATTGCTTTAATGTGTTGGTTTTCCAGGTTACTATGCAAAGATCATAATTCAATACACAATAACCACATGTATCATAAAACATCTGCTATAGGTCAGGAATATAATTAAGAAAACATCATAAAACTATTTTAGACTCATGCTGGCATAAAGTCTTCCTAACAAACTAAAGTACTCACTTTCAAAACTTTAATCAAAATTGAGAAGCAGTGAAAAACACACCACAACTGCTAAAGCTCAAAAAAAAAAAAAAAAACAAACCCACACGCATCTATCTGCCTTGGAAAAGAATTCAGCTACAAGAGAGATACAGCTGTCCTGTTCCCAAATTTCCTTAGAAAAAAGTAGTACTTTCTTTGATTTCTCTTCAGTACGTCTTCAAGTCATGTATGGTACAGCAGAGCTGGAAACCTGCATGGACCTCAATAAAAAGCCCAGCTGACACAAGATCTGTTACTGCCCTGACAAAAATAGTAAGGAAAGGGTACAGGAAAAAACAGCAACCAAAACAAATGGGGGGAGAGAGGGAGTTATTTGTGATAATATGTTGTTAGAAACCAGTTAACTTTTTCATAAAGCCACAAATAAATTATTTTTTTCCTATAAATATTTGTCAATATTCAGCAACCTCTGGAGAAATAGAAGTTCAATAAAAATGCATGCAAGGGCAAGCAAATAACAAAAACCAGGGAGAATGCAAGTTGTGTTCATCAAACCTTTAAAAAAAATAGGGTACTCAAAAGTAGTGTTGCATCATACATGCAATTAAAATATTCTTAATTAAAAAGAGACAATCATTTATTAGCTAGTAGACAAAGCAGTAAGGCAGACAGTTATTTGTGCATTTATTAAAAAGGCAATACAACGGAAAATTTCACACGTTAATTTGCACAAGTGTCCCACATCAGTTTCCAAATGTACAATAAGCACAGGTTTGCTCATATTGCCATCTCTGAAGTCAGTCTGATAAAGAATTAAGCTAACTTTATAAGAAAAGTGTCTAAAATAATCCTGATAAAAATTCTTACTGGCATATTAGCTAGCATACAGCATGTTCTTTACAGGCTGAAACGGTGAAATATTTGCAAGTTGTTGGATCAAGAGTTGTCCAAAATGGCCTAAGTGTAGTTGCACAAGACGCAAGAAGTCTTAAATTTGAGGCCTTTTTAAATCATTCTGGAATGCAGTATCTCCGACTTAAGTTTTTAAAAACATTGGCATAGAACATGCATTTAATACATGCAACTGTACCTAGTAAATATACATTTTATTGAGGAAATACTATTACCAAGCGATCAGGCTAGAGCTAGGCACAGAAGCAACTGACTTGCTATTTAGAACCAAAAGCAAACAACCAAGTTTTAAGGTCATCTCAAATATTGTGTCTGCACAAGAGGTTCTAGTGGGAGACACATACTGGGTACTGAAAATAATGAAAATTCTGAAGCTGCCAAACCAGGTAACTGAATAAACTAATTTTGAGAAGTAACAGGCATTTTATAAAGCCACTAATGTTCATAAATATTAAATAAGCAGAATCAACATTCTCATTTGTTATTTTGGTTATTGACACCGTATTTCTAGGAATAAAATGCAGAGGCAGTTTTGAAAGAAATCAGCGAAGCTGGCATTGCCTGTTAGCTTGTTCAACCTTGACTAGCATCTTATGATAGAAGCAAAAAAAAAGGACTGAATTTATCAGAAGGATTTTTAAGCACAGAAATCCATCTAGCGTTTAAAGAAGGCTAACACACAAATGTTGACTATTTGTGTGCAAATCAAAATAGAAGGGTTGGCTGCTGTGCCCATCTTACTTCAATGTCAATTGCAAAGTTAAGAGCTGATAGAAAGTCATCCACTTTATTATTATTTAGGTGAAGTGTTTAGCAAAGTGAAGGAAAACAAACAAATGTGACTATATCAAAATCAAATTTATTTTCAAGTCAAACATATCCCATTCTCAAAGTTTTCTTTAAAGGTAAAGGCAGGAAAACAGTGAGTCAAGTAATGTGCACTCGCTCTCATACTTGAGCTCAAAATTCCATCAGTGTCAATAAAAAAAGCTGCCTAAGAACCAAAACCAGTCAAGCAAAATGAGAAGAAAAAAAAACTCCAGCTCAGTGTCAAGGTCTAAAGGGATGGAATTGTATAAAGTCTCTCCCAGTGAGCTAAGGCTCTGAATAAGGAGATTAAATTTCTTGCCTGGGACTTGCCTCAGAACACCTCTTTCAGCAATTCATACCAGAACATCCCAACAACTATCATGCCTTGTGTATTCCTGGAAGTAGATGAGGAGAGCTTCTCACATGGCTTCAGGGCAGCAGAAATCAAATCTCTTCCTTCTCCTCTTAAATTCCGCAGTACAAGCTATCCTTCTGGAAAATTTTGGTTCCACATCAGGCATAATGAAGATTTGAAAACAAGACTTGAGTAATATTTCTTACCTCAGAAGAACGTGATAGTCACCCTGTAAAAATTATTTTTATTTCTCAATTCATACTAACTGGAGCAAAGTCTGGCTTACCCAAGTATCAGGCAAATGCTGCTGAGTTCTGTCCTAATTAATGTGGAATTTACAAAGTATAACATCTTAAAACTATGTGGGGCTGTTCGGAAAAGAAGGATGCTGCTGCTTTTATTACACAAGACTGGATTTGTTGGGACACAGCAAATTCTAATTGGATGTTGGCAGGGGTGGGGGGGTGG